GAATGCAAAACTAAGTTAATTATTCTAATTACTGACAATTCTTTCTAATTCAATCAGCCTTCAGCTCGTGTGTGTTTTGCGAGAATATGCGAATGTTTTAAGAATATTGTGAAAAAATGTTTAAGTGTTACGTGGGATTATTAAGAAAATGCTATCCATGTAAACCTATTTTTATTGATTTTAGAATCGTTCCACTGTATTCCTTCTAACTTTGCGAATAGTAATTTTTTCAAAACCGATTTACCGATGAGGCACATATTTTCATCTTATAAGTAAGACGCATGATGAAGTCCTTGTACAATTATAATCGATTAACAAGGTTAAATGACATGTGAAAACTTTTCTCCTTTCTTCAAATTTGAGACTACTGAGCATCAAATACATTTTTTAAATTTTAATTACGAAATGCATGCATTTTTATCCTTATCGAGCGACTTACGTCCGTCCACCTATCTGTCATTCACGGTTAGATCTCTTCCAGTCCACCTTTCGAGACAAATCAAGTGTGATTAGACGCGTTTCTCTGCAACAATACGGAAAATAATATTTATTTATTAGAAGTAGTGTACCTCGGAATCTGCATCAATGACTCCAATCTCGATGTTTTTGTCCAGTTTCCCTTGATACACTGTACAAATAGTGAGATGGCTCCTTGTTTTCCTTCTGGGTATAAATATAGCAGCACAATTTGTGCAAAATAAAATTTCTTGAAGGGGTAATTGCCAAATTCTAGAGATAATTTTTCTTTGTAAATAGTTTTATTACAGGGGAGAGAATATTTTCTGATTCTTGCGAAAAAAAAAGTTCGTCACTACCTGTATTCACAAGTCAATTTAATTGCAATTTATTTGATTTGATTATTGATTTCACAAATCAATTATTGTTTACGAGTTACAGTAGAGATCTCAGAGCTTCCGAAATAGTGCAAAGAGTGTAATTCTCCCCTTAGAACGTCATGCACATTTTGAAACTATTTCTGACGTTCTACACTTAATTTAATTAAGTAGTTAAATAAAAGCGATTTTGAACGTGATAAATTCATTTCCTAATATTTTTTTCGTAATTAGTAATCACTGGTGTGTGTTCACTACTGTTATTTGGAATCAACGCAACTAAACAGAGGAACTAAAAGATCCGGCGGCCGTTTCACCTGTGTCACACGAGAGTTGCGTTGACGCGCGTTACTTAACGCGCGACAACGACACGGTCATGTGCAGGAGCGCTTAAAGTTTTACCGGTCCATTGTTCGTTAAGAAAAAATTGAACAAATTAATTATAGTAAAAGATGGTGTGTGAATACGCCAATTCTAAGATTCCAAGTTTACGTCATAAGGCAAGAATATCAACCTTTTCATGACGACACGGAGAGTGGCTGTACCCGCGGTGACTGAAAAGCCCAGACGGAGAATCCTGACGAATCATAAAAAGGCTATTGTGTGATGTACAATATTTTATTTGAAACCCTTTTTTATGCATGCTTTTCTATAATTAAATAATATCACTGACATGAAATTTAGTGTGGTTATCCCTCGATCATTATTATTTAGTACGGCCACATATTTCTTAATCGTTGTTCTTATGTTTTCTTTAATTGTGACGTGAATGTCAGAATCTATCGATATAATAGATCTTGAATCGGAAGAAAATGTGTAAATAATGGGAACTCCGTATGATAGATTAGAAAAAGCAAGACCCGCAATTTTGGCATGTTTACATTAAAATCAAAAGATGGATATGTGAAAAACATACGGAATTTTGTAAGTAGCGAGAAGCTAGGTGGGTAAGAAGTGTCTTAGAAAACGTGCTCCTCCCATTATTTTCCGAGTAGAAAGTACCGTAAAACAGTTCTTAAATAGATTGTTCAATTACAATGAACGTAAATACTTCCACATAAAATATCAATTGAAAATTGCATGTTTTGAATGTATTGAAAGCTAACTCAAAATATTTTGATATGGTACCTTTGCTTCGTGGCTTGCTGGTTGTAATTTGTTTCTTAGCTAAATGACGTGGATTGCACTCCGAGTAAAAGCGCTCTATGCATCGACAAATGAGATATGCGTGCATAATAGTTTAGCCAACACTAAGTAAAGAAATGTTAATATACCAAGGCTCCTTGATTCCTCGTGGGCAGCAGTTTCATGGCGAAAAGATGGTGACAGTGGAGTCAGGAAATAGTAGATTATGCAATTACTGCAACGAATGCAATAAAACAACATTATAAACTAGTTGCATACGCTAATTTTTGTACAACAGCATTATACATTTTTAAAAGAATTGAACTTAATTTTGCGAAACAACTTTCTAGTGACGTGTATTTGACATCTGTGCGAAAAAACGATCGGCTGTTCCGTTTACCTTCACCTTTGCTGTTTCTGACGCTGTGATTGCTGACGTCTGATGTCTGACGCTCACGTCTGATGACGCAATAATTAGTGCCGTAAAATGCTAATACATCATTATTTGTACCGTAAATGCCCGATTATGCGATTTCTTGTAAAAGAAAAGGTCGGTATACAAAAAAAATGTATTACAGGACGATTTTATCAGAATTGTCCTATAATGAACAACACTCTTGCCGTAAAACAACATTTGTAATTCAACAATGAGCTACTTTGAAGTTTCGAATAAAGAAATTAAAAGGTTACCGCACGAGTTAGTTGACCCACATTATTGCACGGCTAGTCAGCGGTCAGGCGGCAGCACTACAGAAGCCAAACTTTCGCTTGTCTGGTTTTGCTCTACCCTTAAACGCAAGGTGTTTCCAAAGAATGATAAAAAACTCTTTCATTAAATCATGAGCAACAGAAGTTATATTTCGTATTGAACTTAATCAAGAAACTAAAAGGTGAAGTTTTAAATGAATTTACTTAACTTCAGACCAGATCAATTAAATGCAAAGAAAATTGCGCACTTATATAACCAAGAGGCAACTCTAGTCTAGGCCCATCTTATATCCACCAATTAATAGTTTTTGGATATTCAATAACATCCGGAGGCACACAAGTGGACACTCTCAATTAATACTTTTTGGATTTTCAATGCCTTCGGAAGGCACAAATGGACACTCTCCGACATTATACGTTACCCGAAAACTTGTGACCGCTGTGCTTACAGGTGGGAGGGTAAGATTACCGCTCTGAGGCCAACGGTCGGCGCTGCTCAAAGAACATTGCGCTTACTGCCCTTCGCCTGCAGAATTTCACGGAAGTTCACACTGGATGCGCCCGAAAAGTCGGTCATCGAAGTTCAGTCTATTTTGCGGTTGCGCCCGTGAAGCGGCATGGGGGCTGACTCCTATAAGTACTCGCCACTTCAATTTACATTCAAAAACTGGCTGTCATGAGGAATGGTGTGTGCTAGTCCATGACGTATATGGCTCTCAGGGCGGCATCCTTCAGAGATTCCGTTGCGCGGCGCATCGGAACAGCATGTCCGGAGAGAGCTCCAGGAAAAGCGACCGCTCGGCGAAGAAGCCAAAATCAA